TCTATATATGGTTGTATGTATGTGTTTATGTATGTATGTTTGTATGTTTATATGTATGTATGTATGTCTCTTTTGTTACACACTGACCTGTCTAGTGTTTTACTTGGCCTGAATGGTTAACTTGTCTGACGCAGATAAAAAAGACTAGTTTGTATTAGTCGATATGAAGCATATAAATATATGTACATATATATAAATATGCATACGTACGTATATATGCAATGTCGAGTTATGTATGATAGACAATCCAGCTTATTCTTTCCAACAACCATTCGCCAGGGAATATGTTCAAGTTTCATGCCATTTAGAAATTGATCTCCATTAAATAGAAGTTGGCGTTTACGGCGTTTACATTGATGTATATAAATATATAAATATATATATATATATATATATATATTTACGGCACAGTCCCGTAGCCTTCGTAATGGGAGCTGCGAAATAGAGGCACGCAGCTCTAATCTTCAAATAAATAGAACTTGTTTCAAGCTGTTCGCTAATTAATTTGTTATCAATATTATTACCCTCATTAAAAAAAAACTTTAATATAATATGTTCCGGCTATGCAATATTTCGATTGTCTATGTAGATTGAGAAGTTGTATTATTGTTTGGCTTTTTTATCTTTTATCTCTTTTATTATGTGTGGATAGCATGGGTGCTGGGTATCTACTAGTCGAGTACTCTAAAGCTTTTTGTTTATCACATTAAATCAACTCTCTAAAGAGTTAATGAAGTGTTAACCATACTTTATTGCATATTGATTTTTATTTACCTATTGCTATCTGGTTGAATTGGCAAGAACAGGTAACAATATATGTAGTCTTAATATAACCTGTAACTAGCTGATTATAAATTGCATTAAGCGCTAATTTGTTCAGCATGCAATGTTGTGTACCCCAGTTAAGGGGGAATAATGGATTTGTGCAAATGTGTGCAACAGGTAGAAGGAAGCACCTTTACCCTTAAGTTGTATATTTGATCGGGAGACAGTCTTACCAATTCGAATCGATAAAACATTTAAATGAATGAATGAATAAAACATTTAAAATGTTCAGTAATTAGGAAGCAGTTAATACCCAGGTTAATTTACGGTTCAATCAGGGCAAATATGTTTTAGTTGCGAGCACATGGTCTTGTTATTTCTTTTTGTAGTCGAAATACATATCTATATATATATTCATATATAGTATTTGTTTGTCAGCATTTCATGTGCTTATTAAAGTTAGTGAGGCTTTTGTAAAACACTTGAGCGTATTGTTATCAACTAAAACACATCAATTTTGTATAATATACGGAATGTATGTACGTATGTACATATGGAGGAACCCATAACTAAATCGCTTTTGTCGTGGAGATCGCTAGGCGCGTGTATGTCACATTTCAAACTGTGATAATTCAATTTTGCGGTGATCGTAATCCCAACGAACTTTTAGTGCCGACATACATGCATACATATGCCATGTACGTATGTATGTATGCTCGTGGCTATGTACCAATGAATGAACATACAGATCAACTGTACAGAAGAGATGCCATCGAAAAACGAATCGTAGCGCCTGCGTTTTATAGAGGCCTGAGATTTTGATTGTCAACTATAATGTTATAGATGGCGGTTGTTGTTGGTCTGGTAATCTAATTGTAAGAGTCGCCAATGAGACACACGCATGCCACACAGCGGCGGCTGCGGCTTGACGTACATACATATAGACATACATACATACATATGTACATCTGCATACAAATATTTACTTGCTTGTGTGCACACAAACTGTGGGTTGTTTTTGTCGTTGATTAACTGTGGTTCCGACTTTTATTGTTTGGTTTTTGTGTTTCTGGTTTTTAGTTTTGCGCCCTAGTCATACCCAAAATATGATGGATTACTTCCATATGCAATTTTCATTAATACAATTTTTTACTTTCCGATTCTTAACACGACTGTCAAAAGTCACATTTCGTCTTAACGCGGTTAGATCCCTGAACTTTATTGCCTGTCAACGCTTAGCGCACTGCGCCACTTCTTCATTTCTTAGTCAGGTATAATATGTTAACTTTCGTACGCAGATCAGATCACAGAAGAATATATTCACTAGTATATATCCTTATGTAGATATTATGCATTTTAGTATTATTCCCTTTTGCGGAACCGAACACTCGGCGAGCGCGTATTTATCCCATGTGAACGTAAAGGTATGTAAATTTGTTCAGTCCGTTGGACAACCGTAACGCACGGTTAGAAAACCCGAATGGAACTAAAAGTGATTCTTGCTTAATGCACAATGACACGGACACTGCACTGAGAGAATAGAAATATAAAAAGCTTTAATAAAATAAAACACCCAAAAACGAATCAAACAAATTTCAGACAATTGTACGAAATTGTGTGGGTAGATTTGTGTGATTGCGGTTGTGCTTATCATACCATCTGTGTGTGTGTGTGTCAGGAACTGTATACATGTACATACGACACTATACAACACATAACCACCTGTACATAATTACAGTTGTATGCAATGCACGTACTCTGAACCATTTCATATGCAAAGTCTAAAGCTGTTCTCTAGTGTTACTAGCTGAGCAAGCCATATCGTCAGTTTCGTAGCCCCTCTCAGACTTTGTGCACGCATGTCCGAAACCAGAGAGAAAAATTCACTCAAAGGGTGCAGCTTGCAATTCGTTGGCATCTATTTAAATCGTTGGTTTTTTATGCATTTTGTGTATGCAGCTAGATATACGTATATACACGCGTCCAGTCATCATTTTGGCCTTATAATATCTGTACACAATCGCTGCGGGTAAGACTTTAACAATGCAATGTATAGCAATATTATTTGGGGTTCTGTTGTTGCTCCCTGCAGGCACATTTACATAAAATACATTTTTAAAGTTATTGTAAATTTAATAAGCATCGTATTTGTACCCTTAATAATATCTATTCGCCCAGAGGTGGAATTTTAAATATTTTCGCTGTGGTATCCTCCGAAACGGTCAACAATAAATTTTCCTGACATTTATATGCAAATTCATATATATGGTAGAAATGTCCAGTGAGTGTAAACTTAAGATTGCCTGTACGTGCATCAAAAGCATTCAGATTTCCCTGCGCGGTAGCCGTCAGCAAAGTGTGATCGTTCAGCCATTTAAGCCTGCAGTAAATTGGACCCATAGTAGCATATATGGAGTATATTGATGTAATATGCTTACCGAAGTATTCCGTCATTCGGCACCGGGCTTTCACAAATCGTGCGTAGCGCATACTTGGAATAGTCCCAAATAGAGATCTGCCCGTCCAGCGAGCCGCAGGCTACTAGCTTTAGATCTGCCGAAGAAGGAGCGAAGGCAATGCATTCAATCCCATGTTCGGACTGGACAACATTCACCGGTCCATTGTTAGTGCAGAAGAGAAGTTTGCCTAAGAATCGAATATATGTTGATTATGTTCTAAGTACATACAAATTAGCAAGTTCACGATTACTCACCACCGCCTTCGGCGCACAAATAAAACGGCGAGTCCGGTTCACAGGCGACGACAGCATGACTTATTTCCCCAAAAGCAAGAGGGTGTTGCTCGTTCACCTCCATTAGTACCTGACAGGTCTTTAGATCCCACAGCTTTACTATGCCATTCGTGTAGGCTGTAAGCAGTTTTTTGCCGTCGCCGCTTAGCTCGCCAGCTTCGCAGCGCGAGGAGTGTCCAGGTAGTATTTTGCACTCGCCGCTAGGAATACGCCATACGTAGACCTCACCGCTATCGCCACCGGCCAGCAGTACATTAGCAGCACGATGCCAGAACATCCAGGCCATGTCGAACATGGAGTACTCCCACACCTTGTTTAGAATGGGTCGGTCGTCGTTTTGTTCGTTAACTTTGTACACCAACAGCTCGCCGGATATGTCGCCTGTGGCCAGGTAACTGCCATCGTGACTAAAATGTGTTTCAGTAACGGTGTCCTTATGCTCAGTTATCTCAAACAGCACCTCGCCGTTGTTGGTGTCCCACACATAGGCGCGGTCATCTTCGCTGCCAGTCACAGCCCAATTGAACTTCGGATGCAGATTGCAGCCAAAGACAGGTGCTGTGTGCTTACGGAACGTGAACACGGCTTCATCTTTGATGGCAGCAATGCGTTCACGATCCCTCACCTCCTCCTCCTCCTCTTCTTCATTGTCCATGGCGTCGTCAGAATCGTTGTTAATGCCCAAGCGTGCTTCCAGCTGCGCCAACGTCACCTCCTCCATTTCTAGCTCGTCGATTTCGTCATCAAGCGGCGGATCGCCATCCAGTTCGATTTCCTCCAGGATTTCGTCATCTGCGTAATCGAAGTCGGGCCGGTGCGGAGGTGTATTCTGACGCATTGTGTGTTGTTTTAGTTTTTACGTTCTAAGCTTGTGAACTTTTCCATACAAGAGCTGTACAGCCATGCACACACATGCACGTGTTGGCCGCACAGCTGATTTTGTCGACAGGGCTGCCAACTTGTTCAAATTTCAAAACGGCAAAACGCTTTATAAATTTGGCGGTTGTTTTGAAACGTTTCTTATGAACAATTTTAAAATATGATTGTCATGAAATGGAACAACTAAATAAACTAAAAGTGGATAAGAATGTGCTACGCAAAATGTATACAATACTTACACGTACTTAAAAGGTAAAGGGCTTTTATTAAATTGATGCAGATACAGATGGATGAACATCTCACTTGCTCCGTCCACAAAATGTATAAGTATGCGCGTATGCAATTGAGGTTGTCTTCTTAATAATTCTTCGCTTCTTCTTTTCCGGCCATACACATTGACAAATTGTTTTTAAGAAACCTATAATGTAATATGCTGTATAACGGAGATGCTGTTTTCTATCTGTCAAAGATATTTTGGACATGAAAGAAAAGCTTAGTCGATAGCTTTAAAATTCCAGCTAGGTAACAGGCGACTAATATGCCAAAGACCTTTTATATTGACCAACAGGTGTCACTAAATGAAAAACAGTCGGACCGTCTAAAGCCCGGCTAAAGGCTTAATACATTTTTATTTGCTTTATTAGATCGGATATGCAATTATAGTTATTAAGGACTTCTTTTATTTGCTTGTTTACGCTTTCTTAAGTATATTTTCAATGTGTGCAATCTAGCCTGTAATTCTTCAATGGAGGGTAATTCTCCAAAATCACATTCCACTAGGCATTTTTTATGCGCCGCTTCAGCATTAAATATTTTGTCATTGACCTCTTTCAGACGACTTTTCAAATCGGCGATTGTGTTCAACATGTCTTGTTCCTTGCCGTTTCTTTGCTCCCGCAAGTCGTTGAAGCCTGCTTCCAGTTCGTCTAATTTCTTAAATATGTCGGGACTATGAGCTGGGTTCCCATTTGGACTGAAATTGGATGCATTTAACTTAAGCTCGAGCTCGTTTATACCTCTCTCAACATATTTTTTAATTTTCGCATCTAAAGAATCGGCTAGTTCAACCTGCTCCGGCTGACCGTCCAACTTAGCTTTCAGTTTATCTGTAGCTGTGATTATATTCTGGGATTGGTCGTCTTCTGTTTTGCTGTGCTTTCTTGCAATGGGCGTTAAATCTTGAATTTGCTTGCCTATTGAACTTAGAAGCTTATATTGCTCATTTTCCTTTGGTGTCTTAGACTCTGAGCCAATATTTGCAACATGCATTGAAAGTCTTTTAGCGAAATCGCCAAGTTTATCATAAAGTTCTTTAAGAGTGGCGTCTGCCCTTTGGGTATCGAATTTGAAGGTATCTTTTTTTGAATCGATGTCTAAGTTAAGTTTTTGCACGACCTTCAATTTACCTACTATAACTAAGCAATCACTAAACAAATGTTCTTTGCTCAAATCAAATGCTTTCATCGAATTAATGAAATTTTCAAATTCTTCAGCACGTCGTTTGTTTGCCATCATCTGCTTGCTTAACGCTTTATTTAGCTTGCTCCTTATGATATCCAAAGTTTTATTCCCGCTGTCGACAATTTCATAAGAATTCTGAATTTCTGGAGCCTTGGCATTCAAGTTCTTTGCATTTTGCTGGACATCCCGATCCAATTGGCTCAACTTGGAGTTAATTAGTGAACTTTGATTATCAGCTTTCTGCTTTTCAATCCGCATTTCAGTACACAATGAAATCAAGCTATCAGCTTTTGTTTGCTCGTCGTTGATAAGCATTTGTGTGTTTTGAATAGTTTCAGATAAGTTTTCATTACTTTGTTGTAGCTCCTTACTTGAATGATTCCTGAAATCATATAATTGTATATCGCCCATTATCGGCAAACTGATATTAGAAGTATTTTTATTATTATTATTGTTATTAATACAGCATTGCGCCTTTAAAGTCCTGCTGGCCGGACCTTTTTCATACATCGCTTCCGTTTTGAGCAGGCTGTGTTCTTGGCGGTTAATTGTTTGGGCCAAGCTATTTTGAGACTCAGTCAGTGGATTGTAAATGGAACTGTTTGGTGCGTAGCTTTGAATGGAATCTTTTTTTAATTGAAATCTAGACTGGAAGCCTTTTACTTCTTGCTCCCAATTGATGCAGCAGTTGCCGCCAGAATGGTTACCTTTGACGGTTTTTTGATTCAAGTATTCCAGTCTTATAATCAAATTGCGAACGTCCAACAGGGCATAACCAGTTGATTTTGCACGTGCATATACCCCCAAGGCCTTCAGCTCCATTATGGCGTCCACGTTATCATTGATAACTTCAAGTCGGTCTCGAAGTATGGCATAGGGGCAACAGTTGCGGTTGATGTGCAAATCCAGTTTTGATAAAATATTTGGTAGCATTTTGATCAAATTAGCCAGCCGGTCTTCCATTTGCATCTGTTCGTTTATCCAAATGCCGATTTCCTGCTGCTCATCACAGCTCTTCTTCTGGTCACCTGGTTTTTCCGTAGTCGTAAGGGCCGTGCTTGTCTCGATTGTGGATGGAGCTCTCGTGGTGGTTTGCTCATCGAGGATTTTTGTTCTATTGCAGATGACCACTTTGCGAATTTTGAAAATATTCCATAGGTTTATTTTAATTGCCCTGCCGTTATCGAATTCCTCTTTAATTGTAAAAATGTTTGTAGATAGGAGCTGTTCATCAACTTCGCTTTGCCAACGACGCACGTTTGCCCAGAACGTTTTATTCTGTGCATAGTTGAGATTCTTTGGAATGCATCTGGTTTTCTTAAATTCCTCATACATTGCGTTACTGACTCTTGTCGGAGACGCGTTTGTCTCATCTTCATAATCAGGCGGAGAATCAATTACAGCGAAACAAACCATTATTATTTTAATACAATATTCATATTTCTGCATTCGGGTCATCGTTCGAGCCATTCTGAAGTCGCCTTCTATATAATCATCGGATGTTTTGAGTTGATTTGTCAGTGTCAAGAGAACAACTACAACTAACTGAAATGTTTTCACCTATAATTAAATTTCACACAATAAAGCTAAATTGTTATTATGGCACTCATTTCATATGATCCAGCTTTAGTTACCATGTGTGGCCTCTAATTTTTGATATACAACTGCAATTGCTCACTTCGCACTGTGCACTGGTCGCAGTTAGCTCGTTTGTTCATTGCTCGCTTTTTTTATAATTGATTACACCATAAATAATTAATTATTTACTGTATAGAGGCTTTTGTAATTAACACCAAATGCATCATATTGATGTACAGTGACAAAACCGAAGCAAAAAAGTCTTCCCCCATTGGGTTAGTGATTCTCTCAATAAGATCTTGAGTAGGCTACCTGACAACATTGCTGTCTAGAGATAAATGCAAGATACGAAACTGTGTGTATTGCCAAAACATCTCAACACTGTGTTGGAATATATATTCCAAGTTTTGAATCTGTAAATTCAATATCAAGTGCATCAAATGCATTCATGCGAGCAGACGAAGAGATGAACGACGAAGCAAAACCAATAAATTCTGTTCAAAGATAAATTTTATATTTTAGGCACGCCGAAGATTAAACACCCTTACATATAAAGTGCATGGAAATGTTTCCATACAAAAATTGTATTGTGAGCTTCACTCTACGTGCTATATATATACATATATATATGTATATATATATACATATATATAAATAGCTATATTTATCTAGATAGGAATATAAAGCGGGCGGACATGATGTATCACGAAGGCCTCTCTCTTCTATGCATTACACACTAAGTGATAAAAATTGAATAGCCCAAACAAGGGTAGAGTGACTGCAGTCAGCAATAGAAAGGAAAAAGCGATAAACACAATCGTGGGTCAAGGGTCTTATGATAAGAGCAGCACGTACAGACATACATACATAGCTTCTATGTATGTCATATGTACATACCTATACATAGGCATGTTAGTAGGTAGCCACGACTTGCCTCGACTTGCGCCGGGCTGCTGCTCATATGGGTTCATTCTTCTGTATATGTATGTATCTGTGACTGTACATATGTGTGCATTAGTTTCAGATAAGAATACCCGTTTAACATATGTATGTTCCTACATTATGTATTAGTTTGTTTTGTATACCTCCTATCTGCTTTTATGGTGCATAGAGGGGGCAGGTCGGTCACGGCCGTCGCGGTCTGCATATAAATTGTGCGCCTTTCTGGCGAGACAGTCAGTTCTGAGCGACAACCTTCAACGGCAGCATGGCTCCGAGCACGCTCCCAAAAGCACATTTAAGGGGAAGCACTGGAAATGATGCCATGGCTATTGGATGCACTCTGAACGGTGAAGGACATCCCCGAGGCCTAGCAGGAGGGATGGAGCTTTAAGGCGCTTTGAGCGCAGCCCATCAGAATTTGGTTGGTGATCAGCTTTAAAATAGTTAGCTGTCAGTATGCAGGATATTCGGCAGATGACAGCAGCTTGCAAAAGGACCGTGAATGGGAGAAGTGCAATTTAGCTGTAAGGACACATGTGCAAGGGCCTTACATCGGCAGTTCTTATACGATGTAACGACCACCTATTGTTATTTTAGTTTTAGCAGATTTGTTGTTTTTTATTGTTTTAAGATAGAGCGTATTACTTTGACCGGGGTAGATAGAATTACCAAGTCAAGTAACAACATCCTCCAAGTCTTCCATTGAGTGTAAATAAAAATATATGTTATAAAGTAAAAATTGTTTATACATTGAAACATAACTCTACTTGTATGCTTGAGATTTTTAATATATTGAAGCACTTCTTTAGCCTCTTACGAAATTGAATTGTATCGAATTTTGTTGTTTCGATATTCTTTGAAAATATAATTTACCCAGTCTTGTCTGGTTAAACCAAGCGAAAAATATCCAGATCTCAAATGAACTTTTATAAGGATACTTTCATAACGAACTGAAACCTAAAATCACATCCACCAAATCTCCTGATTTTCACCTTTGGCATCATAATTCCGCCTAGACCATTCTTACTTGGTTATAGACATGCACTATATATATTGATTCTGGCGTATCGCAATCATGGATGCCGCAAACTTTCTTGTCGATGAAAATCTATATTTGTTATTGATAAGTTTACTAAGCTAGAAAGTGAGAGATAAAGAAGAATCCAAGAAGTAAAAGATCTCAGGTATATGCTTAAAAATTTTTTATTTCATTTGACTTTTGTTTACAAACATATCGTTGCCCCGCCCTGTTGTAACATAATTCTATACTTTTACCATAGGTAAAAGAACGAATCGTTTAACTGTGCTAATACTTATTAATGTATTGCTAGCGCCTTAAACATTTTAAACAATCATTTATAATGCAAAGCCAATACATTAGTTTCAGGGATATACTTGCGCAGTGTACCGCCTGCCCCTCTGATGAGCTCAAAGTCGAAGTGCGAACCTCATTCGAACTTTGATTTGAAGACCACAGGCCTTTCTACCCAATCTACTGAAGCCATACCCAGGCTTGAAGAATTTAGAACCCATATTTGCTTAAGTGTGTCCTTCATGCTTGTGCCCAGCGATCATGGAAGTTCCACTCGATGTCATACGGCTTCGCCGACTTGGGTTGCAGAGAGGTCCAGAAGAATGTGCCGCCATTGGTGCGTGCAAAGTGTACGGGCACATAGTACTCTCCGTGATCAAAGGTTTGAAGTTCGCCGGATCCGTCTTCGTTGTAGACAATGATCGCCTCCTCTTTGGCGCACTGCCTGATCTCCTCGATGAGCCGATTTTCGAGGTGCTCGTTTGACATATTATCCATATCGTTGTTTAGCCAGTCGAACTCAGATTCCTTCTCATCTGAAGCGATGTAGGAGCTCCGCTTCGGTTGCTTGGCCTTTAGCTTGAAAAAGTGTCCAAGCAGCGGCTTGAGAATATTTGTAAGGCGACGAGTTGGTGACACTTTCGACTTGTAGGAGTACATCGTGAACTTCTTCTTGTTATTGCTGACGAACTGTTTGTTATTTTTAGCTGATATCTTCGACATTCTGCTTGTTGAATATTGAGTAAATATTGAGTGCTGCCGGTGCGGGAGTCAAACTGTATCTGATGCTCTCTCTAACGTGCCTACCCTATTTATACACTCCCTCAACCCTGACTGAGAAACTGTCTCTGAGAGTTGCTGCAGCATCTCAGCCAATCACAGATGCCGAAGCCTGGCAGGTGGTGGATTCCAAATTTCTCACGTTTAAGGAGTCTTGTGAGATGCACAACACTAACAGGTTAGTGTCCTGACAGCTAGCTCCGAATCAAATGCTGCCTGAAGCGTGGGAAACCCATGCCTTTACCTTTCGGGGCAATTATCCTGGCAGCACCTTCGACGTGGGAACCAAACCTTTCAATTTTTCTTTTCAATGCAATAATTAGATACTTTTTGCTTTACTATTTTCAGAAATGTCAATGCCGCCATTTTTGGTAACGAGAATTTAGATTCTTTTAAGTGCGTTAGAATATATTATTGCTATGCAATAATTATAATTGTTACGGTTTTTGATTAAGGCTGCAAACCAGTTTTGAGCTGAACCGATTTAAGCCCCGAGCTCCTATTTCTTATTTAGCCGAATCTAAGCTAGAATCAGAAGACTTCTTACGACTTTGACGCTGCGCTCAGAATTGTTTGTTTTCCTATTTAAGATAGATAAAAATATGTTAATACCAGCATTTACTTACTTTGTCCACGTGAGTTTTGGGTAGGCCGTTCAAATCCTTACGATGCATTCATTATTCTACCGTCCCCCAAAATTGTTTCCAAAAAAAAAAAAACAATTTATTTAAACATTTATTAAAATTAATAACTGGTACTGAATTTGAGCCGGCGACTTGTTAACATAGTAGTTTATAAGACCTGAGATTGTTTTCCTTTGTTCCCTGAAGATATTGCGCAGAACGTGAAAAAGTTTGCCTCGCCATAACCAGTGCATTTATTTTTTGATAATGTAATTTTTTATGATCATCAAAAATAAGTAATTAATAAGCAACATAAATTAGTGAAAAAAGGGGTTCAATGTAATATTAGACCAGTCGATCTTAGTACGCACATTAGGGCTTTGCTTATAGTCTTATTTATGATCCCTACCTGCTTTAATGAAACATGAGATTTTCGTGCACAGCTCAAGAGCGATCAAAGAAAACAAAAATAAAGAAGCACTGGCAGCGACATGTTTTTGAGTGAGAACAGGTTTTGAACCCAAGGGCTGAGGAACAGGTAGTCGCAGTATTGGCTCTATTTGTTATTCTGATATGGAATGTTCGGGTTGTTTTATTACTCTCAAACTCGGGAAATGGGTATATTGGTTTTGTGCAAATGTATGTAACAGACGGAATTTCTGACTCCACAAAGTTAAACAAACTATATTCTTGATCAGCATGAATATACGTGCTGTCCCCATTTTCTATACGACATAGCTTCGTCGTTGATCATCGCGAGATTTTTACCTTTCAAAACGGCTTAATATTGGGCGAAGGTATATCTATTGAAAACCAACAAAAAACGGTAAAAAATCTAAACTTTGACCCAAATCGAAAATAAAGCAAGAGGTTATATCACGTTTTTTCACTAAAGCGGAGCTGTTGACCACAAAACGATTGGTTTGTAAAGTCAACCTTTTTTGTTGATTTTTTTCGCATATCTCGGCCAAATAATGTCCGATTTTGGAAAGACATACCATTTTCGACTCGTAACAATCAGCACTGTCGATTGGCATTCAAAAAGTAAACATCTAAAATTTGACCAAAATCGACCAAAATGGCACGTTTTTTCATAAAATTGGGGTCGGTTCCAAAATCAAAACTTTTTTGATGATTTCTTTTGAATATCTCGACCAAAAAATGTCCGATTTTAGAATTTTATACATTTTTGAATTCGTACGGATCCCTACTATCAATTGGCATTCAAAGAAATTAAAAATCGATGGGTTAAAAAAAGTTGTTGGCCAAAAATAGAATAGTTTGTAAAGTCAACCTTTTTTGTTGATTTTTTCGCATATCTCGGCCAAATAATGTCCGATTTTGGAAAGATATACCATTTTTGACTCGTAACAATCAGCACTGTCGATTGGCATTCAAAAAGTAAACATCTAAAATTTGACCAAAATCGACCAAAATGGCAAGGGGTTACGTTTTTTCATAAAATTGGGGTCGGTTCCAAAATCAAAACTTTTTTGATGATTTCTTTTGAATATCTCGACCAAAAAATGTCCGATTTTATAATTTTATACCTTTTTGAATTCGTACGGATCCCTACTATCAATTGGCATTCAAAGAAATTAAAAATCGATGGGTTAAAAAATGTTGTTGGCCAAAAATAGAATAGTTTGTAAAGTCAACCTTTTTTGTTGATTTTTTCGCATATCTCGGCCAAATAATGTCAGATTTTGGAAAGACATACCATTTTCGACTCGTAACAATCAGCACTGTCGATTGGCATTCAAAAAGTACACATAAAAAATTTGACCAAAATCGACAAAAATGGCAAGGGGTTACATCACGTTTTTTCATAAAATTGGGGTCGGTTCCAAAATCAAAACTTTTTGATGATTTCTTTTGAATATCTCGACCAAAAAATGTCAGATTTTATAATTTTATACCTTTTTGAATTCGTACGGATTCCTACTATCAATTGGCATTCAAATTTTGGAGTCGTAAGGATCACTACTATCGATTGGCATTAGAAAAACAAAAATCTAATTTAACCCTTTAATTTTTAATTTGATTGAATGGCATTCGTAGGAGTTCAAAAGAGTATATCATTCCATATTTCCTAAATTTACCCGAGATAATAAAACTAAACTAATTAAAAAAATGTCCGCGCGGAATAATTTAGTTTTCTAACTATATATTTCCGCCCAGCTAAAAAAAAAAAAACAAAATTTTAGTACTTTGCCCAATCTTCAATGTATGTCTTTTTAAAATGGAACGTATTTAAATTAACAAGTTTTTCATTTTATATATTTCAGCCTAATCTGCGCCGCCCATTGACTGCATATGATCAGTAAATGATCGCTATTCATGGTACCTAGTTGACCGATATATCCTTGGTTATTCCATATCATCGATATAGTCCTGACGAACCTAAAGGACTAAGCTCTCGCAAAATACGCAAGACCTTGGTCGAAAAATATGTATGCTTTTCTTTTACAGCAGCCCGCTCCCTGGATGGTTTCTAATTGACTAACATATTCTTGGTTATACCATACCATCGATATAGTCCTTGGGAACCTAAAGGATCAGATCCCTGCAAAATTTGCATTGAAATGGTCCAAAAACATGTATGATTTTTCTTTCAGGAGCCCTTTTACATTAGCTGCAACTGCAACTGTCTTAGTACAGCCGCCTTACAGCACTCATTTTACATAAACTGCTAATTAACATTACTCATTTTAATTGAGTTACATTTTTGCCCCTTTATGCTATGCAATGAGCATTTTTATTCAATCCACTCGTCGACCTGCTGGGCATTTATGTTCGCCTGGTATTTGAGTGGAATTTTAGGGCAAATTTGGGGCGTAGGCGCTATCCAGAGCGCCCCGTGAGGGTATGCAATGATTTTTTTCGGCCGCAAAAATATTGTACGTCCACCTTCTGGGCATTTCTGTTCGCCTGGTATTTTTGGGAAATTTTAGTTAAAATTTGGGACCCAGCCGCCGACGAGGGCGCCCCTTTTGGATATGCAATGAAATTTTTTCGCCAGCTAACAATTTTTTTTCGACCTTCTGGCCATTCTGTTCGCCTGGTATTTTGGCAGATTTTAAGAAAAATCTCGGCAGCCAGCGGTTGCCTGGCGGGTATGCAATGGATTTCTAAAAACCGTTGATTTTTGAATTTTTGACGTTCCAAAACGACAGAACTCCAGCGCCAGCGGTTGCCAATGGAGATATGACGTTCCAAAACGACAGAACTCCAGCGCCAGCGGTTGCCACTGGAGATATGACGTTCCAAAACGACAGAACTCCAGCGCCAGCGGTTGCCACTGGAGATATGACGTTCCAAAACGACATAATTCCAGCGCCAGCGGTTGCCACTGGAGATATGACGTTCCAAAACGACAGAACTCCAGCGCCAGTCCACTGGAGATATGACGTTCCAAAACGACATAATTCCAGCCCCAGCGGTTGCCAATGGAGATATGACGTTCCGAAACGACAGAGCTCCAGCGCCAGCGGTATGCAATGGATTTCTAAAAACCGTTGATTTTTGAATTTTTAAATAAAAAAACAGGAATTTCGCTTTTATTTTAAATTTATTTATGTTTCAATTTATAAAATTGCTGTTTTTTATGCTAATTTTCTTAATTATTTCTCTTAAAATTATACAAAACGAGCATAATTTATAATTTTAGCTTATTTAAACTGAAAATAACTATATCTGGCTTAATTAAAGTCCAATCCAGGAAAAATTTGCTTTATCAGTCGACGAGGTCCTTAGAGTTCCTTGCAGTCCTTAATTTGGAAGTCTGAAATGATAAAAACACATTTAAATTAAAAATATAAATAATTTTTTAAAAGTCGAAAATAGGCCATAACTCGCGCATGTCCTTGCAGATTTTCAAAGGACATGGTGCGTTAGGATCCTCTAGACCCCCTGCATCGATCTGCATCATAAAAATATGGGGTTATCTAAGAATCATATGACTCGAAACTAGACTTGTAAAATTTTTGTCCCGGAACGCACGGAAATGGCCTGAAAACACAAATCCTTAAATATCTCCAAAACTACAAGGACGATCTGAACGAAATTTGGCCAGTTGGTAGTCCTGGTCAACACAATTATTTTGACATATGACTCGTCAGGACACACAAGGATATGTTCGAGTTATGGCTTATTTTCTTCAAACAAAATCGTCCTTAAAACTTTTTGTCTGAAGGACTTTCGTCCTTTGGGTTCTAAATTCTTCAATGGGAGGGTGAGGACTATCTACTGGCCAAAGGACTTTCCAAAAGTCCTTCAAATGGCAAAGTTAGCCTGGAAATTTTCGATTTTGGCCAATTTTCCGACTAACCCCCTAGGATAAATTTTGATGAAATTTTTTGTCGAATTCAGGGAATCCTTGAATGCCAATCGATAGTCTTGCTTCCCACGAGTTCAATACTATACATCCTTTCGATATCCTCGAGGATTTGGCCGAGTTTTGGCTAATTAAAAAATGTCCTTTTTCGAAAATAAGCCATATCTCGGTAACGGCTAGGACGATTTTGTTGTCCTTTGGACCGTTTATGGTTCTTGTTCATACGACTTGTTTGAAACAGGACTTACCAGGATCCGAAGAGATACTGCCGAGTTATGGCTATGTTCATCTACGAACGAATTGTACTCAAATGTATAATGTCCAAAGGACTTTCGTCCTCTTCATTATATATACTAAATTGGCCGGATTAGGACGGAACTGTTGTTAGATGGACATGATACGGCCGATCTACAGCCTTTTATCTGTACACAGAAATATCTCATTTTCTCATCTTCTTGAAGGAATTTCTTCCTTTTTATTACATATTCTAAGTACGCAGGATAAGGACTAAATGTTGACCAAATGACGTCAGAATGGTCCTTAAGGTGGTCAATTTAATTTCCTTTAAAACGACAATACCCGTACCTCGGAAACCATAAGGACGATTGGCATTGCAAAAATTAAAATCTAAATTTTGACCCAAATCGACAAAAAAGCACGTTTTCACAAAATCAGGGTCGGTTCGAAAATCAACACTTTTTGATGTTTTTTTTTTTAATATCTCGGATAAATATCGTCTGAGTTTGAAATGTTATAACTTTTTGAATTTATACGGATCCCTACTATAAATTGGCATTCATATCATGGTTACGACCTCTCTATATTTCCAGAAAATAATTCGACACCGGCTTAAGTTAGTCTAGGAATATTTAATTATACATAAAGCTTTCAAATGTTCTAAAGTTAGAAGGAGTTTGTTTTGTGTGCGTGTTTTTTTTAAAAGGTAAAGTTTTGTTGATTCCTTGGTGTCATATCCTAAGCCACGTTGCAGGGCTTTATGAGTTCGAGCTCCTTGATGTCCATGTCCGTCGCATTGTTTTGTTTTCTCCACTGGAAAGCCTTGCAGGCCATTTTGAATACATTTTGGATACTTCTGAGGGGCCTGAGGCTGTGCTTCCTAACGTCAACATATAATGGACTGTTCGTAGCATTCAGGAGCGATTCATAGACCATTGTGCCGACTGAACTTTACAAAGTGTGGATTTAATATGATGTTCACCTTACGGAATCTGTGCGTATTTATGGTAGTCAGTCTCAACAATCATCCCTCATGTCTGTTTGATCAGCCAATCACCAATCACTTCGCTTGTGGCCAGTTTTTTTTCTTCTAATGGTTCACGCATTCCACTTCTTAGAGTTACAGGTAGTCGAGGCTCCTTTAAATGCACGTGCGTCAGGCTCGTTCGTCCGCTGCTAACTTCGGTTGAATATATTTATATTCTTTTCATTTCTTTTATTTGTATGGGTTTGCTTGCGGAGGAGTTCACTTTACGGACTCTCCGCATTTATTAATCATTTCATGGTTAATAGATTGACAGCGGAGCATGTAGCCCAAAACCCTCGTTAAACATATGCTGTTTGAAAACTATACGAAATGCAGCTATTTGATAATGACAAGTTGTTTGAATATACGACTGTAGAGACCATTGTGGCTTATGGGTTAATTCATTGTGTTCAGATTTCAGCTTATCTCCAAGCCTGTTACACAGTATTTCTATTCCATTTTGGGCGACAAAATTAGAGAATGGTTTTATACAGATACATAAGTCCCTCTGCATATCAGTTCAAGTTCATTAGGGTTCAATTTCTTACTCATACCAAATCCGGAATGTTGTTTTCTATGTTACACGCACTTGCATATATGTATATTGTATATAGAACATACAATATATAAATAAATATTTATAGCGGTTTTTAATATTTTTGGGGTATATTCATTATTATGCAATATTTACAATATTTAAAAAGTGAGAACGCTGTAGTCGCGTACGCTCGACTACAAAATCCCCTGTACCCTACAATTAATGTAATATTCTGGTTGTAGGCACCACGCTCTGAGTTCTTCAAAAACTCATGCTTGTGCTCATTAAAATGTGTGTTACGAGTTGTTTGCCAATTTATATAAGAGGTAGGGGAACAACCCGAAAAATAATAAGTATTACTTCTTAATAGACAACGAGCTAATATGAACGTATCGATATTAGACTCTATTTAAGATTAACATTTTTTAGGAAATGGATCTACGACTGTAGACATTTGGCAAACGGCTTTGCAGATATGTAAGAGAATATCTCGGAAAACAGAAAATGTTGCCATACTACTCTCTTCATAGAGCTTGACAAGATGTGGCTTGTATAGCATCAGCATACTGAATCCAATAAAAGCCGCGTATAATAAATGCAAGTTATGCGCAAAACAAGAATGAGTTTTTCTTCTAGCTCTAATTATTTATTTGCTTAACTTAAATATTTTACATGGAAGACAATGATTCTTAGCCTAAAAGTTACCTAACAAACAAACATGGAAGACAATGATTTTCTTATAAAAACTAAAGATACCCTATCATAAAATCACAATAATTTACAAATGTGCTAGTTGTGTTAAATGATTGTGTACAAGCACACAATCTATGCTAATATCACCCTGAGATTGCGGTCGTGCCAAGTGGTTCACCATGCCCCACACTTGACTGGAGCAAGTGACACTTGGTCTTAAAGCTGGCATCAATGTTGACGGCTCGGCGAGCTGGTTAAGCCTGAACCCAACGGTCGAATCTCTCGCGCATTTGCTGCTCCTGCTGCTGCAGGCATGTCCCATCGGCAGAGGTCCAGAAGAAGGTGCCGCTGGTCGTGCGCGCAAAGTGCACCGGTATGAAAGTCTGATCGGGCTGCACAGGCACAACGCTTTGCTGCTCATCTTGCTGGATGATAATGGCCGCATTGTTGGGGCATTCGCGCAGATCGTTGAAGAGACGCTGCTCCAGTAGCTCATTGGCCATGTTGTCACAGCTGGCAACCGAGTCTTTGCGCATGTCCTCCAACGATGAGTTGATCTCGTTCTGCGATTGCACTTCGGCGAGGGTTTTGCGTATGAGCTGCTTCTTCTTGATCAACCTCAGCAGTGGTTTGACAAGTTTCTTGAGGCTTAGCATAGCCATTGTATGTTGATCTGATTTTCGCTGCATCGTTGTGCTGGTCTCGAACTTGTATTCCCGCATGATGAAAGACATTGTAGGCGACACAAATTGAAATTGTTGCAACAGGCGGACTTCTTGCCACGTTGCTGGTTCGAACTGTTCTGCTCTTTGGCCAGCGGAGGCTCTGCTTTTATACGATCTCGGTGCTCAGAGGCACCCAGCCGAAATGCCCGTTGCGCTCGCAATACTCTCTCTCTCTCTCTCTCTCACTCTCTCTCTCTCTGCTGTCAGCCAATGAGAATGCGCCCTTGTGGCAGGTGGTTGGTTGCGCATCGGATGAGAGAATGAGAATCTCCGTTGGCGCATTTCCCAGATTTTTAAAGTGGATTTTTGGTTGGCATTTGTTGTTTCACAAAAGCGGCTTTCTTGTTGCCCCGTCTCTTTCGCTCGTTACCTGCCAAACACGAAATCCCAAAATCACATTCCAAACTCCCTTGCCCGACACGAACGGACAAGTCGAAACAAGTCCGTGAATACCCGACCCTAAGTGCTGAGGATTTTAAAATTCGACACACTATCCGAAAATGGCAGGGAGCGAGAAACACAATAGTTGGCGTATCGCAAAGGCAATCTCTGTGCTGGAAAACCCAACTTGTTGGTCATTTCATTGAGACAGCACGAAAATCCCAATTCCTCGTCGTGCCCAGCCTGTAGGTAGAAAGTAACGTATTTTCGGTGTTCCGGACTTAATGTGAGTTCTGAAGGTTAGTCAAAACGAATTAACGCGCTATTTGGAAAGGAGATGCCGCGCTGTCGGCGTGGCAGGTATTGGGCAAACCCAACCGTTTGCATACACTGTACACATATATGTATGTATATTTGTTTGTCATTGTTGTTTTTAGGATCTGTCTGTTGTTGGTGCGTAAACAATTTACGACGCGGGTGATGCATTCTCGATGCTCAAATTTACTGGAATTTTGTCGGTAAATTATTTTTGAGTCTTCGAATTGTTATTTGAGCATCCCCTTCGGAACATTACTTTCTTGCTTTTAATTTTTAACGGTTTTACACCAAGCATCCTTCAAATGGGGAAGAAGGGTACACTCAATTTGTGTGAGTGTGTGTATATACATATGTACATGCAGGAGTAAATATTGGCATCCACACACACACAAATAAAGTTTGATTATTGTTTGTCTTATTCCACGTCGAGTCTGCGGCAATCGGTAAAAACATATTTCAGCTCCTGTACCGCCCATTAGCTTAGGGGAGGGTACTTGTTGCAAAATCAATAAATTCATAATCAACATTTTACAAACAAAGAATTAAATAATTTAATAATATTATGTAGTATAATTGTTATTATCATTCTCTGGATTCAATAAGGGGTTCAATCAGTTAATGTGTCGCTGCCGGTACGAGCGGGTATACCTCAGAGAATAAACACGCCCCCCAATTTTGAATGGTTATAAGCAATAGGAAGATCAAGTGTACGCCTTTTTTCAATATCAAGATCATCATGCTCCGTTTTTTAGGCGAATCTTGCACAATATTATCAGAGTACAATATGAGGGTATGTGGGTTTTCATATATAGATTCCGAATATTTTGCTCCTCCGATTCCTCCAGCAATTTCCCGAAAGTAACCCGATCTATGTGTATTCGTCACAATAATGTCCTGAGCCCTGTTCACACAAAAGATGATCAGGCTGATCTTCATAGTGTGAAACGGTGATGCTGGCTACAGGATACCTTCTAGTCGGGCAATTTCGAGTGAGGCACTTCTTTTGATTTTCGCCATGCACACTCCCTTCATTTTCAGAAAAGTGTTCTTTCTATAGTTTCTTTATCTCGCGAACTCTCGAGTATTGTCCGTTTTTGTAATCATTTGGCTGTGGGTTCAATTTCGCCTATCTATCATGCCATCTCGCAGAGGAGCGCTCCGTAAAAGATTGAAGTGATGGCAGTTATCCCTTCTTTACCGAGTTGCATTCGTTTTGGGTCATTTTAGGGTTCGTTTCATTAATTCCTCTTTTATCTTTTTTATGAGTTTGGTGTTTTTACCTGCGCGCTCACCGCTGACCCTTGCACGTGTGCAACCTAGTGCCACCAAATCCAACAATACACAATCGAAGCACATATAAGAGAATGCATTGAAAAAGGGCAATTCAACAGAAAATAAAATCGTATCCAATGCAGCGTAATGGTAGCCTTCCGGAAACGGATTAAAATACCTTTTCCCTGACGTTATTTTGAAACATATTTTCACTGTACTTTTTCGGGTCTAAAATGTTTATAAAATGTCTATTTGTAACTGGTTTGATTCTGTTTTCCAGATCAACACAAACAGATAAGTCAAAATTGCAATATCTCGCCGACAATCCGAAAGTCCTTGTATAGACATTTATATAAACTTTTACGGAGATTCAATATTGGCTATAATACAATATAACTCATCTATTAGCAGGTGGATTATTCGAGTACTCCTTCAAAGATCGCGCCAAATAGTCACGTCCACAAGAATCGCAACATAAACATAATACAGTTTGAAATGCACTGCTTGAGATACATTTCCAAAGTATCTGTTCGACTTTATCTGACCGTTATTGTGGACAGAGTTTTGCCCAGTCGGCTGCACCCCACTGCGTCCTTCTCTTTTTTCTGGATACGCCCAGACAGGTCGACTTATATGTAGGTATGTCAGCTACTCTTTGCCGAACAAGTGTGACAAATCGCACCCAAGATCTAAAAAATTCAGGAAAATTCAAGAAAATGTTTGCCATTCCGAGAATGTCAAACAAAAGGCAAGAAATTAAATCAAAAATGCACTGGCGCCGGCGTCCTGCTGATTATTCTACCCAAACGTCTAGCGGACTCTAGGCTGTACGTGCAAACGTGTCGAAATTACCTGTTTAAGTAAAGACTCGTAGGTAAAAGAGTAATTGGTGCAACTCACGTACCTTTTAAGGGCTATGTGTCCGAAAAGATAAGTACAGTCAAAGATACTTTCAGACTCGTAACTCGTGTGCGGCCTAAAAGCAAAATCATGTTGATAATGTTTTCGATTCGATCAACACTTTAGGACTCGTTAGCTATCGTACATATGATTTACATGGGATGGAATAGTACTCATTTGTATTTCCATATGCATATATCATGCATCTATTGGTGCACAAGTATTTTACAAGAATTTAATGTGCATTGAGCTAGCATATGGAACAGCTTTCAATGCTGATTAGTAAAGATTATTGGGGCATGGCAAACACTTGCACCTCCGCTCTGAGACCGTCAAGATGGGAGCACTTGAAACGGCTGAGCTAAAAAACCGATATGTAATGAATAGCAATGCGATGCAAAATAGTGTTCACTTTCCATTTAGCGGCACTTAATTTAAGAAACTGGAGCCACATCCCGCGCCTGGGGTTGCTGAGGTTTGTGTTATGAACTCCACTTGAGATCACAGCCCCAGACGCCTGTTGTCAAATATAACAGCGGTCGGGACACCAGACCTCGGCTGTCGTGCTTGTAAGTGATATCTACGAATGTATATTTCACTTCAATCTGTCGCCGTCGACCGACTATCCTAATTGTCAAGTGCTGCCACAGATCGTGTAAACGGATCAAGTTGCATTACTGGCAATGAAAATCTTTGGGTTTACGTTACGTCTACGATTTGTGAAAAATATGGATTCTATCTAGAACCCATTTGTCAATATAAGACAAGAGTCATGCAGTCAAAAAGGACCGACTAGGAGATGCTCTATACTAAGATCCAATCCTCATGTGTACATCAAATGAATCATACATCAAAATTGTATATCTCCAGGAATAAAAAATATATGTAAATATTCCAGAAGTAAAGAAATCAGCTTAAAATGGACTTGCATGTGGTATGCGAAAACCTTATTGTCAAAACTGACTTCAGACGAAAAGATTAAACATAGAAATGAACTGTTGATGCTGATCAGGAATATATATATCCATAGCCGGGCAGGTCTCCGCTTTCGCGACATACCCTATTCTTTTACCCATGTTCCCATATTACAGGGTATTTTGTTTAAGCGAAATCGACCATATCAATAAGTACCAAGCCACCAAAATAGTTAGTGTTCGAAAAAAAAGAAACAAATTTTAACTAAATTGATGGCATTTTTAGAATAAAACATCCCTACGCGTCGGCCACTTTCCTTTGTGAACACGTGTGCAAGGGTCTTCTACTTTTTTTTTTCTTTTGCTCCTAATCCCAAGTTATGTCCCCTGCGGTGCCGAGTTTTATTGATTTGGGTTTTTCATTGTTTACCGAAATTTTCGGACAGCTCTGAGTTGTCAGTGTGTGTGTGTGTGTTCCTATTGAAGGGTATTACGATTTCTATGTGTTTTGTGTTATATACATGCACCTACAAATATATACGCCAGACAATATACACATTTGTCCTTTGTTGTTTTTTACGCTTATGTATGTGTGTAACCGACTCTACGCTGACCACCGAATTAGAGGTTAACGTGATCGGATGAGGGGGAAGAGCATCAATACGTTTGACTTGAAAATGTAGAATAAACAGTTTCAGTGTATTTACTTAATATTATTTAGGATTAATAATAATATTATTTTTTATTACAAAGTAACAGGCTAGATCATATTATAGCCAAACGCTTGCCTGCGATTCGAACCCGTATACTCTTGTTGTCTATAAATGTACACAGCTTGATGGCTGCTAATTAGGAAAACATCTATTATGTCTAATTAAAAATGTACTTAAGGGCAATGAAAAAAGGTGTATCTATAGGAGATGGCTGCGTTTAAGAGTCTCTTAACTGTATTAAAAACGTCATGTTATATGTGTGTTATATAAAATCGTTGTGATCATATTGCTCATCTCACCAACACTTTAAAGTTCATTATTTACTACCATTTTCTATTCTATTATTAACAATGTTTATTTTTGAACATTTCTGCACAAGGTTTATAACAAGATTACAAAGAAAATATCTCCTTGTAATCATGTAGAGGGTACAACAACATCTCAATTAGCGACTGATTATCCTTTGGGATATTCGATAAATACAAGGATAGTTGGTACAACAATGTACGAT